GTTAGCAGTTTTAGCAATTGAAATCAATTTCCAGGGTTGGCAAGTGTAGATGTTCGAGAAAAAACTTAATTCCAAACCGTTAATTTTTATTTATTTATTTTTTTAAATATTTTTTAGAATTTTTTTAATTATTATTTTTGATGATCAAATTTTGAATTGTTAGGCAGCATAAGCATGCATGCCAAATTTAAAGTTTCTAGGATGTTCAAAAGAGCTCTAAATTAAGGTCTGAATTTTTGATGAAAGACAGACACGAAACGAAGTCAAGAAAAACGTGGTAAAAAGGGGTTTGCTGGGACACCTTCAAAAGAAATGTGAATACGGGAAAAATGGTGAAGGATGCACATTCTCACACCCTAGAATCTGTTATAAATTCTTTGATTATGGAAGCGGTCATCCCAGAGGGTGCAAAAAGGTAAAGATTGCCCCCTTCTATCATCCGGCGCTGTGCTGAAGTATCATGAACAGAGAGGACTGCACGAGAGAAAACTGTCGTTTCCACCACATCAAATTAAGAAAACAAAGTGGAGAAAACGGCAGTAGAGCGAGAACCAGTGTTATGCTCTCACAGCAAATGGCGATGCCCACCGCACTGCCTGCCCCTCGCGCTCAGGGAACACAGAGCAACGCTGAGAGAAACACCGTTGGAAGGAGCGGTGATGTACGAGGTGGAAATGAACGGAGTCAATGGAGAAGGACAGACAACTTAGCTAATCCACTGAGTAGCCGATGCGTTCGGGGCAGACAAGCACGTGAGGAGCAAGAGGTTACCCTCAGTGCTTTTTTAGACCTGAAGGACCAAATGCAATACCAATTGGAAATGATGCAACTCCAGAGAAAGGAGCTGCTAGATCAGGGACGCCTGGCAGATCGGTGTCGCTGCAGGTAAGAACACCAAGAAGGGAAGAGTCTGGCATCCTGCTGGCCAATATCTAGGGGCTCTTCCCACAAGGAGCGCGCCACAAGATAGGCGTGCTGAAAGAGATGGCCGACGAGGGTGGGATCTTTATGATTGCACTAACGGAGTCGCACCTAAGGAAGGATATCCTGGATGCAGAAATTTCAATGGAAGGATTTCAACATTATCGTGCGGACCGAATTGGAGGGAGGAAGAAGGGAGGCGTAATTGTTTACCTTTCGAACTCCCTCGCAAGAAGCGCGGTGGAATTGAGATCGGAATCTGGAAACTCTGATGGATTTGTTAAACACGTACTACTCCACATAAAGAAACTTGACCTCTGCGTAGCCATAGTCTATAGGCCACCTGCTTGCCCATCGGAAAATTTCAACAAAACCCTGGAGGAAATAGAAACCAGGGTGGCTGGACTGGGATAACCAGCCCCCAGCCTGATAATGGGAGATATTTCAATCTCCCACGTATCCGATGGACAAGTCTGGGCGACGTAGAGGTTGGTGACCGCGACAGAAGTCAAGAAGCCAAACTAGTGAAGTTTGCTGCGGAACACTGGCGCAGTCACCAGGTACGGTACGGTTGCCGACAAGGGAACGAAATATCCTCGATCTCTTCTTTACTGATAATGAAAGAATGGTGGTTGAGGTTCGGGTTGAAGAAACCTCACTGTCAGACCACCGACTGGTGAGGATGAATATGACAATTGGAACTGATACCCAGACCAGGGATATACCCCAAAATGGACTGGCAGGACTTAACTTTCACCATCGAAGAACGGATTGGGAGCCTGGGAGGCAATATGGAATGAACTTGACGAAACTGACTGGAGAGAAGAGTTTCACGATATGAATGCAGAAGAAATTTACACAAAACTTTGTGATGAATTAGCACAGGTAGGTGTGCGTCATACCCCGAGAAAAACGGGATTCAAAGTCCGCAGCATTCAGGGAGACCGACGCATCCTTATAAGAAAACGCACACGTTTGAATAAACAAATAGCTGAACCCACTAGTGACCTGAGGAGACAGAGACTAGTAGATTTGCACAATGAAATTGAACTCGGGTTGCAGGACTCGCATAGGATAGAAGAACAAGCTGCCGAGGAACGAGTAGAGAACTATTTTTTCAAATACGCCCAGTCAAAGGCTAAAATAAAGACGCCAGTGGGCCCGCTGAAGGATAACGATGTCCTTGTCGGAGTTGACCCCCGCTACTAAAGGGAGGAGAATGAAATCGAAGTTCTCCAGGAACTGCCAGGAGGAAGAGGGTAGGAGAACATTGAGTTTGGGCCAGAAAATATGGAAATAAGTATCAAAGAATTGGCGAGGTTCTCAGCACCAGGACCGGATGGAATTCCGGCAGTGCTGTTGAAGAAGTGTGTTGGAGCACTGAAGGCTCCGCTCCGCTCACAATGCTCTGGAAAGCCTCGATGATGGAGGGAATTATTCCTGAGGGCCTAAAAGCAGGTCTGATAACGCCAATCCGCAAAGGAGGTGCGAGGGACAGACCCCAAAATTACAGACCTGTGTCCTTGACCTCACATGTGATCAAGGTTTTTGAGAAGGTAGTGGTCAGGAGGCTTGTCCGGTATATGGAAGAGGCTGACCTGTATAATAACGGACAACATGGTTTCCGGCGTAATCGTTCCTGTTTGTCGCAGTTACTGGAGCACCATCACCGTCTAGTGGCCCAGCTGGAAGAGGGAGCTGGCGTGGACGTAGTATACCTGTACTTTGCTAAAGCTTCTGACAAAGTTGACCATGGGGTGCTCTTAAGAAAGCTGAGGCTGTTGGGGGTAGGAGGAAGCCTGTTGAGGTGAATCCACAACTTCCTTACAGATAGGGTACAAGCTTCTCTCGAAATCGAGAGAAGCGAGGGTGAAAAGCGGAGTTCCGCAGGGCTCCGTGCTTGGTCCGATCCTCCTCCTCATAAACATTGCCTATATAGACTCGGAACTCACCCACGCATCTACATCGTCATTTGCGGACGATACAAGAGAAGCACGTGAGGATTCCCGCTGATGAAGATCACAGATGACCTAGACTGCGAGAGGTTACAGGATGATCTATCGTCAATCTACGATTGGGCCCTAGTGAACAATATGCAGTTCAACGGCACCAAGTTCGAAGTAATGAGATACAGAGTCCGAACAGAGATCGGGATGCCACATCGCTACTTGGCATCAGATGGCACAGAAATTGAGAAGTAACTAGTTCGAGATCTCGGAGTGTTTATGAGTATTGAAGCCAAGTTCGATGCCCATATCGAAGAAATAGTCGCGCGCAGCCGGCAACGGATTGGGTGGATATGGCGGACATTTCGAACGAGAGAAGCCGCATCAATGATTACACTCTTCAGAGCTCTTGTGCTCCCCAATCTTGAGTATTTCTATCAACTTTGGTCGCCACTGAAGGCGGGTGTGGTGCGGAAAATAGAAGCAGTGCAGCGGACCTTCACGTACAGGATCAGCGGCATGAGGGAGCTGAACCTGAACTACTGGGAAAGGCTGAAACACTTGGGACTGTACTCACTGGAGAGGAGAAGAGAAAGGTGTATCATACTGTACACTTGGAAGATAACCGGACTGGCTCCCAACTTTGAGAGTGAGACCTCCAGAATAGTGACACGTTACAATGAAAGGAGGGGGAGAACATGCAGGGTTCCCCCATTTAACAACCGAGCCGCGGCCTGAGTACAGACTCTTCGTGAGGGATCACTGTCCGTGGTAGGACCGAGGCTCTTTAATGCCTTGCCAAAAGCGCTGAGAGGAGGGGAGTTCATCCTTGAAACTTTCAAGAGACAACTGGACAATTGGTTGAGAAAGATTCCGGAATGTCCGGTAATAGGAAACTACCCTCAGCAAGTGACAAGCAACGGCATCTTGCACCAGCTGGCCCAAAAAAGGGCAAATATACGGAACACGTCCAACGTTACATCCGGGACCCGAGGGCGGGGTGACCTGCCAAGCGACGACTCGGAGACGGTGGACGACGAAGGCGGCGCATCAGCGTGACCGTGGACTACGAAGTCCTAAGCTCATCACAAGGTTAAGGTATAAAGTAAGTCAAGAATCGGTACGTTTATAGCGATTCAGTGTGGTTAGCTCCGAGGCGGAGGATAGCGATTGCATATTGATAGTGGGCCTTAGCTTCAAGGCTAGTTTAGAAATTAAATCAGAGGCCATTGGCTGCGCTCTCAAATCTGGTACCACAGCCATAGAGTTTATCTACATTTAAGATCCTACAAATACACCATGAATCATATCCCGGCCTCCTTGCCGATTCTGACCAGAAACTGGCGCACAGAGCTGGGATCGAACCCGCGCCTCTCTGCGCCAATCTTGATACTCTGAACTTTAAACACTGGGCCACCCTGCCCACCACAGAATAACTTTATGAATAGTTTAACTTATTTTTGTACGAAGAATATCAGATAGTAATTAGTCCATGGGCTAAAATTTGCTCAAGCTTTGTTAAAAAAAGTTTTGATAATTGAAAAAATAATTGAAAATGTCTCACATGAAGCATCTCACATGAAGTACTCAATTCAATGGGAAATATGATGACGCATCAACACTGGCGCAAGGTCAAGAGGAAAAATTTTTCGGGAAGGCACCGCACGAGAATGTATATTTCATCCCTTACAGATTAATCCCAATGCAGTTGCATGTGAACAGTCTAAAAAAACATGACCTCGTCATGCGACCTATGTTAAGTTTGCGACAGCAACTTTTTCATCGATGCAGATCCAGTCTACAGGTAAGAAATTGTAAGAGACCAGCAATCCTATGCGATGAACTGCTACATAAATATCTAACGGCGAAATTCACAAAGACTGAAATAAATGTTTGATGCAGGAAATTTGGCATCTTTATTAGAAGTGACGAGCTGAAGTTAGCAGTCACAATAAGCTTACGAAATACCTTGATAATATCAGGCGTTGCAGAAGTGTCTGTAAGCTGAGGAGAGACGGGAGGGTGGAGGGGCGACGTGAGGGGCGACTGTCCTCTGTCCAGGCCAACACTAGGAGTGCTCGAGCGACTTCCCTGTTATAAAATTTATCATTTTCTTTCACGTCTCACCAATGGTCAGGTGTCATCAAGACCAGCAAAGAGGAGGCTTCTGTTGTTCATCAGATTACCGGCATCGCCAATGGAGAAGTTGGGGCGAGGCTGAAGGGTGAACGTTTTTTGCGAAGGCAACACATAAGTTGGAGTTCCGGAATTCCCAGATCCCAGTTTGGCGTTGTTGCTGCTGGCTGGAAGACTCAATAGCTCGTCAGCTTTTCCTGAAACACAGATGTAGATGATTAGAACCATGTAACGTGTACTCAGTCATTCAGACTGGACTAAAATATATGCAAACGTACTATATCACACTAATCATTGTCAATATATGCAGCATTAAATTTTAAAATACAATTTTTACCTTATTTGGAGCATGCATTGAAAATCAACATGGAAATTCTACAATATATTGACAGCCTTCTGGTACATCTTTCTTTTGCTTCAGCTGTTTGTTTTCAGATTATCGTTCATTCTCAAGACTCACCAGTTGCTGACGCAGGAGTTTTCAGCAGCGATGAATGTCCAAACGGGTTGTCTGTTAGGGCTTTGATGAGGTTAGCAATGTTATTTTCTCCCAGCCCAGCCGCCACAGTGTTATTGTAGCCAAGAAGACCACCGCCACCGCCACCTCCAAGAGTTCCAGAAGAGCCAAAACCCCCACCAAGGGTTCCAAAACCTGATGGTTTATTGGCCGTGTTGTTGAAGCCGAACCCGCCCAACGTGTTGCTGCCGCTGTTGAATGTAGAGCCTGTGTTGAAGGTCTGTCCTCCAGCAGGTTTGTTTCGGTTGGCAGTGTTGCTAAACAAACCTCCTCCTCCCGTGTTGGTGTTCAGGTTGCCAAACAGACCACCACCACCACCGGTGCTTGTGCCTGTATTAAATGCTGTCCCTGTGTTGCCTGCGAAATTAAGCAAAATATTTGTTGACATTTCTTCAGTTAAAAGATTAGTGCTGATGAAATTCAGTGCGCTCTTTTAAGCTGGGAGCAGAAGACTGGAGAAACAAGAATTGAAACCACGAATTAAATGTTGCATTGCAATTAACCTAGAGCGATCAACTGGAAGAGAAATGTTCAATCATTGCTGTTATTTCACCCGATGGTATAGTTTTAATGGTAACTCACTAAAAGTTGAGGTGGTGCCGATAGCAAAGACTGCTTTGCTTTGATTGTTTGCAAACAAGCCGCCTCCCGAAGTGGCACTGGCGCCAAAAGGCGATGCCGTGTAGGTGGCCCAAAAAGCAGAGATGGCGCCTTTATTTAAGACTCCGTAGGCCGGAGTGGCAGCAGGCTTACTGCCGAACAAGCCTCCCTCAGCGGACGGCGAGGTAACGGCTCCAAATGCTGGTTTTGGTTGGCTGAACAAGCTTCCACTCTGATGAAATCAATCTCAAGAAAACTGAAGGCATTCAAATTGATACGCAGAGTATGTACAACAGACATGAATGTAGATTACTTGAATTTTTTATACAAAATATTACAATGAATAACATGCATGCACGCAATAATATAAAACTCACTTAGGCAATGCAACGCTTGTGTTTCCGCAAGTGAATAAGGCTGGTTTGTCAAGAGAAATCCAATGAAAGTACAAGCAGGTAAAGAAAACACAAGTCATAATAATCTCAAAGAGCTCAGCCTCAAGGTTCTTGCACTCGTGGTGTTAGATCATGAAAAATAATGAGACCAACCGGCTGAGACGTGGCATTCTGGCCGAAAGAAAAGCCAGTGCTGGTGGCCCCGAACCCAGTACTGGCTGGTTGCTGCTGTCCAAACAAACCACCACCGCTGGTGTTGTTGTTGCTCGGCATGAAGGAGAAGCCTGTAACACATCATCATTATTATTTGTAAAAGTCTGGCTGACAGAAAGAATTTAAATGTTGTCTACGAACACACGTAAGATTATTAGAACATACATATTAGTAAAAATATTCAAATAGGGGATGTTCATAAGTTTGATTTTGATTTATTTATTCATTCACACAGGAGCACACGTTTCAATGAAATATACAAGAGACGTGAAATTAAATAGCAAGGCTTCCAGGTGAATGCATGCCCATAAAAGCTAAAAAAGCTTCGCAGGCAACACAATAGGTACAAAACTCAATTCCAATGATAACAAGACGACGATTAGAACAAATAAAAAAAGAGGCAAAAAAAAAAAAATAAAAGAGGCAATATCAACATTACACTTAGTAAAACAGGGTACAACTACAAACATCTAGCCAAAATGCTTAAAACTTGCATTATAATCGAAATCAAATTAATACTGGTTAAGGATAAAATTACGGTACTTTATTTTTAAAATCATTTTAGAGCAACTTTGTTTGAACTCATCTGGCAATTCATTAAAATATTTGACTTAATTAAAAAAGGAGTTATGCCTCCAGACTTAAAAGGACCCGATTCAAAAGTACTAGTTGGCTCAATAGCCAAAAATGTTCTAAGTATAGCCTCCAAATCTGGATCTGATAATGAAAAATCTCATGGCATATAATTTGATGGAAAAGTGTCATGCTAGGAGATACGATTGTCAGCATCCAAGATATTGATTTAGGTATTGTTAATGAAGTTTTTGAGGGAACTGTTGGGTTATGGGAGCTGTTAACAGAGCTAAAGCCAGAAAACTACGAGATGCTGCATAATACCTTAGAATTTTAAGAGAGACTAAGCCTAATCTCGAGCCGGATTGGACAATAAAGTCAATAGAGGAGATAAATATTACAAATTCATCAGACCAATATAAAACAACACAGAAAGAAAAGGTCCGTCATGAAGTTGCTAGAATTAGAGCTGCAAGTCACACATCTTCTAGGGATCAAACCCCGGAACAAAGATCAGATACTGATTCAGATCTTGCAGGATCAGGACTAATAGTTAATAATAATACATTCTAAAGTTAATGACATTGTTGCAAGACATCACTTTTTATTTGGCTCTCTGAATGCTGGAAACACAGGAGTCTAATGAATTGCAAGCACTCACGCATGAACTTTATAAACGAAATTTATTAAATGACCATGTGAATAGAGTAGGTAATTCTGACTATTTAATACTATAATATTGAAAATAGCTGTGTTGTAAAGTGGAAAAGGGACTGAACTATGTTAAGCAACTATAGGCAGGATGTGACTTAACCGTAAAGTTAGGGAAGAAAACCGTGAGACCGAGGGTTTGTTTATAGTTTGGAATGGCAAGGGTATCAAAGGGAACCCTTGTGGAACTCGAAACTGTCGCGGCGTCACTTCGAAGGTATAGGCTAAAGTGTGGGCGACACCAGCGTATGGACCATCAAATTCGCGCCAAAGGTTGTTCTACTGAGATGACCGTCACGCAAGTACGGTCGGCAGTCTGCGGACGTCGTGACGACCGAGGCCATGTGGCCGTTGGGTTCGTCAATTTCGAACATTACCGGTCGTGAAATATCTAAACTTGGTCGTTGTAAAACAACCTACGGCCATACTGGCCGTGAGACATCTACGTATATCAGCGAGACACGGCGGCCATGAAGAAAAAGCGAACGCGAGGACGCGCAGCTAAAGCTGCGGTACGGCCCCCCGAAATACGGTTACGTGTACGCGAGGAAACACGCTATGATACCTATCTCTAAATTTATAGACGTATTTATTGCATTTAATTTTCTAGATACATTGAAGGTATAGGATAATAAGATAATGCTGTTTCTTAATCCCTTGGCGAATGCATGTTATTATACAGATAAACTATGTTAATGAGAAGTTTGAAACCATTATTGCGTTTCATAACTGCTATTAGGTATAGATCTTTGTTTCCTCCGCACCCTCGCTTGCGCATAGTGACAACAGCTAGGAAAGCTAGAGCGGTAGCACAATGTATCTTCAAAGAACAACGAGTAAATGTTGCGCGATGCAACGCGGTGGCCCAGAAGGAACTCCTAGTCTCGATCCCAGCACATTCGCGCAGTGGAAACGCGCACGCCAGTTTTGAGGCCCATCCATGAGGCTTATTAGTCTCAGGCCAGTCTCAATCCTTCAGGATCAGTCCCGTAGTGGAAAATGGGCTTTAGGCTACGGCCAGACTAAAAGCGTTCACGCGGATGCAGGCAGACGCTTTAAAAAGAGCGGCACCGCGCTGCGCGTATAGTGGCCACACTAGACTCTGGACCGGACCACGCAGCTTACGGCGAGTCAGCGTGTGTAACGAGTGTCAGCGAGAGACTAACAGCCGTTCGTTCTCCTTGATAGAAATTTGTGGGGAAATAAAATATAAATGAAATAAATAAAATATAAATGAAATGAAAAATACATTGTTTTATACCTTTTTTGGAACAAGTATTGCATTTACAGGCATTACATTTATTATATTTGTGCTTTCGATAATCTTTAGAAAATTTTACTCATAAAATGGAGAACATGCAATGTAATGAAACTATTCAAATTGATGAATCAATTCAAAAGTTGAAACTCAAGATTATGAGCCTCAGATTGGAATTGAACTGACTGAACACAATGATATCAAGATCATTATTCAGAATAAAGATCAGTTTCTACTATCATCAGACAGTTGTCTTTACATCGAAGGGGGCTTCAACAAAAGAGGATGGTAGTAATCATAACTTTAAAAATTACAAAATATAAATTATCAATAATGGTCTGATGTATTTATCCGATCGAATATCTTATAGAATCGGAAATTGAGAGCTATAACTATCCTGAAATTGCTACAACTCTGAAAGGATTGGCAAACTTTTCAATGAAGCTCCACTGAAAATATGATGTTCTTCTGGAGTATTGAAACAAAGAAAATGAAAAATCAAATGATGGATTAAACGAATGTAGCGATTATTTAGGAGTCTCTGATGGTCATATTAATGCAGCAATTCCCCTAAAACGTATTTTTGGATTCTGTACAAATTGTGACTAAGTGATTTATGGAGTAAAGCATGACTTTTAACTCTAAGATGAGGTGACGATACAAGTGATCTGTTCAAGACAAGCGACAAAGATTCAAACAATCAATATTAAGTTATAAATAAGAAAATTACTATCAAAAGACGAATTTGGAAAATTATCAACTCTTTGATGAGTATAAGATTAAATTATATCGTCAAACAAACGATAAAATTCGAATATCAATTGCATACATGAATCGACAATTGGAGCAGACAATAATGTGTCCTAATCATAAATTCTTGGATGTGACTCTTACACCAAGTTCGGGAACTCAAAGAAATCGTTGTCATTTTAGCATATCAAACTGGTAGAGATAATTCACAACTTTTTAACAATGCACTGTTTGATCACTGTGATTTAAAGAATGCACATATCCAGCTAAATAACGAAAGGTATCCAGAGCAAAAGACAAATTGATTTTGATAGTAACAATTATGCATTAATTTTTTAAATGATGATAAATTATACATCCTAGACAAATTGTGCAATTGCATACAAAGATTATAGGTTTTTACATTCGATTCGTTCATTTGTATTCGATATCAGCCAGCGAAATCTACGTCTTAAGGACAGTCTTATTGATATGAAAATTAAACCTGAATTCAATAATAACATTCCTGATAATACAGATGCTTATGCTCTGATTCATTCGGGCAGAATCCTTCAATTACAATCTGATGGTGAAAAAATGAATATAAACTCCTAAAAATGTAGAAATTCTTTTGGGATTTATATCTTATTCAAATGACGTATTGCGTAAAGTGTCAGAAAAAGACTGATACGGAGCATGCTCAGATGTCATGACGAAAAATTAATAAAATATTAGAGAATGGACATTGCAGGATTTGTAAGAAAACTAAAACTTTTTTATATCAGTATAAAAAGGTTTCGTTTTTTCAATTCCTGCTATCCTGGGAGCTCTAGGCGCTGCTGGGTCTCTGGAAGGAGGGGGCTTCTGACATAGCTAGGGCAGGTAAATAAGGAGAAAGCTGATGATAAACTTATAGCAACATTTTTTGGTCCGCATATAAAATAAAAAAATGGGTGATGTAATTTGTGGACATATATGTTTAGAAATGTTGAAACGACTGGAGCATGAGAGATTTGATTCAATTATATTGGTCCATTATAAAAATGGGATTAAAATTTATCTCTATTTCATTTTTCTTTATAAAATGGGGAGTATTAATAACTATGCATATAATTTGAAAATTTGAATCTTTCATCAACTTGCAAGATGGTGAGGGAGAAATAGTGTCCAATTGAAGTATTTCCCTTAGAGTCACTGAAAACTTCAATCGAAACACATTGAAATGAACATTCCATCTTCTATTGACTTACAAGTTGATCAAGTTTTCTAATACTGATTTAGGTTTAAATTTTCAGTCTGCACTTGGCTTAAAATATAAAATTTTAGATCCAAGATCGATTCTTCTGAAGAAAATCTAATTAAACAATTTGAAGAAAAAATTGACAGTTTGCTATCAGCTTTTGACAGCAAAGTCAAGAAATTGGGATTAAATGTTGAGGAAAACTAATTAAGCAAATTGATGAGAAAATCATTAGTTTGCAGTTAGTGCTCGATGACAAAGTAAAAAATATAGAAATGGGTATTGAGGATTAACTAATGGAACAATTTGATGAGAAATAAATAGTTTGCAGGTAGCACTTGATATAGTCAAGAAATCTGAGCGAAGAAATTGAATTTGAAGATTTCAAATTCTTAAGAATTCGGCATATTAAACCCTTTTGAAAGCTTGCTCTTTTGGCAAGCATTGAAATTTCCAGAAATTAGCATTTCAGAAACCAGTTAAAAAAGTAAGAAGTATTATACTAAATATTTATTAGTATGTATTTAAAAAATTTTAATTTTGGAGGTTTAAATTGCTTTCAAAGAATTTATTAAATGCGGTCACTACAAGAAATATTTTTTATAATCAAAATTTAGTTTATGAAAATGAAGAAAATTAATAACATAAAAATTCAATTCAATTTAATTAAGTTACCTTATATAATTATACATATATATTGATACTTCCACCTTTTAAAAGAATGTGGAAAGAGCGTCAATTTCATCATCCGATTCGAAACTTTCATTTAAATGCTCATATTTTAATTTTTGGGCATAGTAGGTGGTGATGCTATGAAAGAAACAATGGTCAGATAATTAGCGATTGACTGAGGCACGATAAGGAAGCCTCAAATATAAACCAGAAGCCGCATGGTAGGTCTCTTTGTGAGACAATTTCAAGGGACCAAATAAGGAGACTTGTTCGTTAAAGGGTAAAAAAAAATTGAAACTGATTATTAAAGCTGATGAGATCCATAGAACGCAGTTAGCGTATTAAAATTTGTTAAATGAAAAGCTTAAAACTTCAGAATTGCGGATTAATAACCTCGAGTTACAAATTGATGGAAAAGTAACTTGTGCTGAAAATGATCAGACATTCAGAAGCTTGGAGTCAAATTTTTCTTCAATTAATGATGCAAAAGTTGACAACATAACAGAACAAATCATGGAGTTACGAGCGAAGTCAGTTTCGCTGACAAAAATGAAAGACATTATTAATGAGATGAAGGTTATTAAAAACATATTTCATGAGTTTTCTAGATGTTATATCAAATCAGAATAAAATCAATCAACTTAAATTGATGCTACAAAATGAAACTAATGAAAACATAGAACTGAGCAAATTATTAACTGATCGTACAAATAATCTTGTAGCTTTTCGAGTTCGGGAGAGTCTGTAGGCTTTAGAAATTTTCTTTATTAAAATGACTGGTGTCAATATATTTGGAACAAGAATTAATAGCACACCCACAGAACAGCAGTGGCCCTCCAGGTATTGACTTTAGATACCTTGACGTTGAAAAAAAAAGTTGATCTGAATAATTGGAGACTTGCAAATATCTCCCGTCCAACTGAGGATAAGGATGCTGCATGAAAGAGTTATGTTGATCAGTCGTAAAAGTCTCAGATGTTCATGTAAAGGATTCAGAAATGATCAATAAAAAATATTTAATGAGGGAGGGTGTCATGTTGCATATCAACTTTCTCGAGAAAGAATTGCCAGCAGCAAAATCAATAGTAGAAACTCTTGATGGAAAAGTAACTTAGGAAATGACAAATCTTGACAGAAAAGTAACTAAAGAAATTATTGGATTAAAGCAGAATTGGAAAATCTTGCAATAAAAGTAACTCATAAAATGACTGAAGATCAAAATTACGAAAACACGAATAATTTGAAATCCCTCGACCAATAAGCATCATCATTAGCAGAAATTCAAGTTGAATTAAAGGCATATATTGATGGTGTTGAAACACGGGCAGATGACGTGAATAAAGAAGAAATAATATACGTTTAAAAATTACTTTTTAAAGACAATACTTCCAAAGAATCCAGTGTCTCCAATCTTTATTGTCTCCAACTTTACACAAGTGTGCAAAATTTCAGATCGATAGGATAAGTAGAAGTGT